AAAAAAAAGTACCACTACTTACTCCAAAAACTCCGCAAACCGACAAACCCCCGCATTACTAACAAAAACATCCAATCGTCCCCATTCCTTCACCGCTCGCTCCACCAGCTCTTTTCCCGTCTCGGGCTTACTGACATCTCCCGGTACATCTATGAAACCTCCTGCGTCTGGATCTTCTTGTAAGAGTGTTTTTGCTTCTGCGTGAAGAGATTCCAGATGCGGGATATCGGAGTCGAGACCTAGATGATTGACTGCTACATTACAGCCTTGACGGATGTAGAGGAGAGCAATTGCACGTCCGACTGGGAAGGCATGTTAGTTTGAGGGGGAAACAAATAAGGGAAATAAGGGGAGATGTTTTTTAAGGGATGGAGGGATGGAGGACGAACTTCCTGTGGTCCCACCGGTGATCGCGGCGGTTTTGCCTGCGAGAAGGTGTACGCCCTTAAGACTCATTATCTAAGTTTGTGGAATCTATGTGTATGTTGTATGTGGATTTCGGATTTCGGATGGACGTTTACTAGAATAGTGGGGTGTCTTTGGTGAAGCTTGCGATGACTATATGTAATAAGATTGTTTCCTGTCATGAACCGCAGAGTATGAAATCAAGGTAAAGTAAAGAGTACACAAGAAACAGCATCGCAGTACGATTTCAAATATCTTTTAGACTCGTTTTAGTGAATTGATAGGTCCTAAGATTAGACCCTTGTCAATGGTAGAAGGACCCCACGGTTCGGTTTCTCGAGTCTTTGACCACCGAAGCCGGGGACGTGGGGTAAGTAATCCATCCACTTGTTCCCATGAGATCTCGCTACGCACTCATTTAGATACAGGAAGTTTGTAAAGGTGGCATGGATAGTTTAAAATCATGATAATGCTGAGATAGATGGCTTTGCACTGTAAAGATATATTAAAGAATTAAAGAAACAAATTTGGCTCTATTCCACAATCCACGCTATGAAGTTGACAAGCTCTTGACTTCTTCCACCACTCCATTTACGATACCCTGATCTGCAGACTTCTTTTGCTCAACAGCAGGTTGACCAAGAGGTCTCTCTGGGTTTGGTGTTAAGAGGTATCGAGCGGGAATAAGTCGTGCAGCCGGGTTAAGTGTCAAGCCAAAACCCGGCTTGTCGAGTTGTGAAACGTCAAGATACCCCTTCACGGGGATTGGTTCATCCAAGAATAAATCTCCGAAGACTGGCAGGACACTCTTCCCATCAGGCGAGTTGGCAAGGTACTCCTGGAATGGGCAATTTGTTTGAGAAACCACAAAATGATAACTGTAAGGTCCACTTGCATGCGGCACCACTGGAATATCATAAGCGGCCGCCATTGCTGCAACTTTGAGCAATTCCGTCATTCCTCCAAGCCACATAACATCGGGTTGAATGATATCGAGATTTCGACCTTCGATAAGTTTTCTGAAACCATATCTTGAGTATTCATGCTCACCGGTGGTGAATTTGAGTTGTGGATGAGCTTGTTTGATTTGTGCAAACCCATCGGTGTCATCTGGAGATAGACACTCTTCCCACCAGTTGATATTTAAATCTTTGCAGGCTGCAGCAAGCTGAATCGTGTATGGAACGTTGAGACTCATATAACAATCGACCATGAGTGGGAAGTCAGGGCCCACGCTTTCTCTGTGCTTTTTGAGGAAGTCGACATTCTTTTGAAGCCCTTTGTGACCCTCTTCTGGGCAATATGGTAGCGGAACTTTGGCACCCCAGAACCCCATGGCCTTTGCGGCTGTAGGTTCTGGTCCTGTGCAATAAAAGTCTAGCTTCTCTCTTGTAGCTCCTCCAATCAACTTGTATACTGGCTCTCCCCTGATCTTTCCAAGTAGATCCCAAATCGCTAAATCAATAACTGAGATGACCGCAACTGGAAGTCCCTTTCGACCATAAAACATTGAACTCCTATACATTTGTTCGAATAGGTGATTGGTATCTCTTGGATCGGCGCCGATGAGAAATCGTTCGAAATGTTGGTGAGCCAGCCAGCATGCAGGGGGACCTGTGAACTGTGGTGAGCTTCAGCCGGTGATATTGGATAATCGTATAATTACCTCCAAATCCTGTAGCAAATCCAACCGTGCCATCTGAACCTTCTATTTCAACGCAGAATGAGCCCAGCACATTGATGCCCCAACTTGTTCTTGATGCTCGATAGTTTTCCCATCTCGACATAGGTGTGGAAATGGGTGTATCAATCAACCTGATATGAATGAGTACAAATCACAGGATGATTGTTGGTCAAACTTACCAATGTCCACCTTTAACATTGTGATAATCTCCTCCTGATCCAACGCCATCCACAACAAAGGTTCGGATGGCCTTGATAGAAGGGAAACTGCGAGCTGATGAAGAAGCCATGGGGTGGATATGGATGAAAGGATGAAAGGTACTGACTGCAGCAGAAGCAAAAGAGCAAACAAATGGAAGTAAATAGTCAAATGAAATGCCAGGATTGTGTTACTGTTCACTTCATGATTGATGGACAAGCAGATTACTTTGTAGCTCCAGTAAGAAGGACCTTGGCGGGGTGATTGATTGTTGTTTCCAAAATGAACCGGGAGAATATCGACCGAGCTATTGTTGATGCGGAATGCAGGCCTATCCATCTCATAGTATTGAATTATGATACTCAGGTAGGCCTGGCTCTACTCGAGGAGGAGAAAAGGATTGATCATCTCTTAGCATTTGGAATATTGTTGTAGTGATGTTTGTTGAAGAAGTCTTTCTGGTAATTTTTGTGTACTGACTGTATCCCCACAGGAATAATCTCTCCCCATGACTCCCATACATCGAGATACTCTTCGCAGGTACTGTAGGTACCCCGTATATACCGGTAAAAGTATTGAGATGGTTCAATTGATGTATATGGATGGAGTCAGCTTGTGCCATCAATGAAAACTACCTCGGTAGGTACTCCATGAATGAAACCCTGTATGAATTACCGTAATTACAAGTTTACAACTTTTACTTTTGCTAATTCCGAATCAGACTAGTTCCTTTTAGGCATATTTTTGAGGTTAAATTGGAATTTGAATCAATCAAGTATCGGTATCGACCAGAGAGAGAAGAGAGAAGAGAGAAGAGAGAATTAAACAAATATCTTCATCTTATCAAAATCTTAAATCTTACTAACTCGTATTACCCACATTCATCAAAATAATGCTTCAAGGATTTACGGATAATAATAAATAAAACTTCCCCCTCTTCCCTTCCCTTCCCCTCATCTTTTTCTTTAGAACAACACGTGCCATACCTAGCCCACCCCACCTTACTCGCTCATTTATCACCGAGCTTTGCCTTTCCCTTTCGTTCCCATCTTCACCGAGACTTGAGACTTGAGACAAGGTGGGTTATCAATATTATCATTTTGTCATCGGCTTTTGCTTTCCGGCTTATATGGATAACCAGCAATCACCTAGAACGTCCTTACGTTCAGGTGCAACTCAGCCTGAGAGTGATGGAGATAATGACCAATTTTATAGCGGGGAGGAAGATAGTATCGATGCAAATGGAGATGGTCCTCGTAAGAGGCAACGTCGGCCGATGTCAGTTTCGTAAGGAATTATGTCTCATTCTCTCACAAATGACCCTGATATCAATTACGACGAGGAAGAGAACGAGAACGAGAACGAGGACTTGTCCAATACTCTTCCGGTCAAGGAATCGGAAGATGATCCCCCAATCAATCATACCGAAGTTGTTGGAAATGTTGGACATGATTGGCTGACATTTCGTCGAAGGTGTGAGCTATGTAAGCAAAGAAAGGTACGATATCAGGCCATACTTTAATTAAATCTTCTTGATGGAAGATCATCTAAGTTTATCTCTACATCTTGGTGGACGGTGTGTCAGACGCAAATAAGATGATTGCTGGAAAAACATGTGTATTACACAGAAGAAGTATCTTCTACATGTCTCGGAGGACGTTTGAAAATTCACTCCTGAAGTCTACAAGCTGCTCTCTTGATGTTTCATAAATTCAATTCTGACCCGAATAGGTCAAATGTGATCGCGGTCAACCTTCGTGCGGATGGTGTAGCCGTAATGGCGCAGTATGTGAATATAAAGAGCGCAAGAAACCTGGATTGAGAGCTGGCTATGGTCGAGAACTAGAACAAAGATTGGACCAACTCGAGGATATTCTACGCTCGCATGCTCAGATCTTAGAATCATCCTTTGGTCATAACAGCAACAGTGTACCCAACAGTATTCCGAGCGATCACGATACACCACAAAGTATTCATAGCTTCAGACCAAATGAAGGACTCTCTGCTCACCGTGGAGGGCATATTGCTAGAGCCGAGACAGCCTTATTCCTTCAAAAGCCATCCACATTTGGACAACCAAATGCATCCATGGACTTCGGCAATCCAATGCCTCCGACTCCTTCGATGCCATCTATCCACAGTGATATCTTCCATCAGCAACAACACACACCAGGATCACATGGGTCACATCTATCCATAGAAATGCAACAACATAATCACTCAATACCAACTAGTCAAGCACCGGAATTTTATAATACAAACCAACCACCTTTGCAATCGCCAAGCTTAAATATGACCCAGAATCCACACGAACTATCTTCCGACCATGCGCTACCGCCATATGATCTGCTATATGCGCTGGTTGATCTATACTTCAAATATGTTAATACTTGGTGTCCAATATTACATCGAAGATCTACATTGGACTCTTTATTCGGTCCATCTGCTTTGGATGAAGCAGATAAAATATTGCTACATGCTATTGTAGCCACTACTTTGAGGTTTTCCACAGATCCACGACTTACTGAAGAAAGAAGACGGCATTATCACGATATATCCAAGCAGAAAGTGTTGCTGTATGGGCTGGAAAACTCATCGGTCAAAGCTCTGCAGGCTCTGGTAATCCTCGCCTTGGATTTGGTGGGCAGTAGTAATGGCCCACCTGGATGGAACTTATTAGCCTTGATCACTCGCTCAGTAGTCCAACTAGGACTTGCCGTAGAGACTACATCCTTCTCTGTCTCTCCTAATTATCCTTCAATATATACACTTCGAGCAATGGTCTTGCCAGAGCCGGAGAATTGGATTGAAGAGGAATCACGTAGGCGTCTTTTTTGGATGGTATATCTCTTGGACAGATATGCCACAATTGCGACCGCTTTCGAATTTGCCTTGGATGAAAAAGAGATTGACAGAACCCTACCTTGCCGAGATGATCTTTGGAGCAAGAACCAGACTGTCGAGACTAGATGGTTCCGTACGAGTGAACGGACGGAGTACGATATCGAAAAACCAGAGAATCTTGGCGCATTCTCATATTACATCGAGATTCTTGGAATTCTGTCCAGAATTCACAAATTTTTGAAGAAGCCAGTAGATATTAGTGCCTTGTCCGACGTCGAAGAATGGCAGGGCGAATATCGAGAACTTGACAATATGCTCACTTCATGGAAATTCAATCTGCCTGGCGATTATGGAAACATGGCGAAGCTTTTCCAACCAGGAAGCAATAAATCCATCAATTGTGGCTGGGTCATGCTACACGCGACATATCACACAGCAGTAATACGACTTCATTCATCGGCTGCCTACCCCACGACTAGATCACCTATTTTTACATCTTCGTATAGTGCAAGTCAACGTTGCCATGGTGCTGTGGAGAATGTTGCAGCCTTAGGAGAGTACGTACATTTCTCTTTTCTTACTTTACAATCAGCCCTGCCCCAGAACCCCAATAAGTGACTCAATTGTCTCGTAACTTATGGGGTCTTATCAGGACACATCTTTCTTGAACGACAAGTACTGACACGAGAAATAGATACGTAGTCCAAAATGGTATGCTCCCAAAACTAGGCCCGCCATTTGCATTCACGCTCTGGGTAGCAGCCAGGTTACTCCTCGTACACGGCTCAACCATCGAACACAAACTCAGCCCACAAATTCAATTCTTTGTCGACACCCTTCGAGAAATGGGTAGCTACTGGCTAGTAGCAGAACGCTACACGACCATTCTCCAACGCGTGCTCGACGAACACCGCGATAGCGAACGTGCCGCCGGTGCCAATGGCGAACGAGTCACTCCCTCTTCCGTCAAAATCCTAGCAGATATGAGGAGATGCGCATATGATTTGGATTTTTTGATTTCGAGACAACCTAAACATGTAGGGTTTTCCCGAATGCCAAGTATTACACCGGCAAGAACACCGGCTCCTAATGAGTTGGAGTATTTGGATGTGTTTGATTTTTTCAATGTCCCGAGATTACCTGTTGTTCCGGGTGATCCATCGAGTAGTTCTGGTCAGGGGAATGGGGTGAGCGATATGCACTTACTTGAGATGGGAGGAAATGGGGCGAATGAATTTAATATCACGAATTTTATGGTGGATGCTAATTCGGATTGGTTTATCAACAATTTGAAGCATGGGATTGAAGGGGGTCCAGAATCATAGTTGAGGTGTAGAATTCGGTGTGAAGCTCGAGCGTCTTGGGACGACATTCTGGATTGAGGTGAGAGGAGACAAGAGGGAAATTGTGGGTTGTTTTTTTTGGTTTGAGCTTTCAGCCTTGCTATGAATCCAGGTAAACGGATTCTTTTGGGATGCCGGCCGGACACGAGCAATTGTGAATCCAGAGACGGAGTGGAGTACGTGGAAGCATAGGTAGGAAGGATGAAATCAATAGGAAAACGGAAACGGGAAACGGGAAACGGAATACGTGGAAGGAAAGGAAGGAAGGAAGGAAACAAGGAATAAAAGACAGTAATGAAACGCATGCATGGAATCGAATCAACAGCAGCGAGGATAAAATAGATGATGTTGTCAATACCATATCATATCTCATTCATTGTATTCACGCACGTTTGTTTACCTTGCTTGTCTTACCTTGTTGTAAAGAATACCTCCTCGTAAATGTAGTAATGGTAAATGGGATGAATAGATATTTGGACTTGGTGATATACTTAGTATACTTATATACTCGTATACATGTGAAGGAAGTACCAGTCCTCTGTACTCATATGCAGATGGAGTTGTTCTTGCTTGTTTTGATCTCTTGATTTATTACTAGTATGGTATGCTATTTGGAGTTTAATATATTGTTGTACATTTGACCTGGAAGTATATATGAATGATAGAGTTGGGCTTGGAACTGAGATGGAATTGGAGATAGAGTTGCGGTTGTATTTTCTGTACCATAAAAATATTTATAGAAGGGAGAATACATAACATGATCTATCTAATGTATTCTATTCTGTTTCATCTTGATAGAAAGATACTAAATATAAATCATACACAAGTGATCCAAATTAACAGATCAATACACCAATTTAATAATCTGTAATCGAGGAGTTATACTCGAGTAGATCAATACCTTACCCGAATACCCGAATACTCGAATACTAAAATCCATAGACCGGGATGTGGCCGATACCGTGTACTAATACACCCCGGTTCCGAGTGTGGCTGAATGCATGCCGGACTGCCGGCTTAAAGTTCGCTGGAACTTTTTGTGGTCGGTCGTGATGATTGATTGAGGGGTGGAGACTCTGGAGAGGAGACATGGTTATGGGTTTGTATTGTATGGAGTGTGTAAGGTAGTTGTTAGTTGTGGATTATAGGGATGTGGATATGGATATGGATAGAAGGAGAAATACTCGGGGGGTTCCGCAGGTGCGTGTGTGTGTGTGTGAAATAGATGGGACGGAGATGGGTAAAGGCGGGAGATGGGAGATTGGGAAATATATACAGTAGGGAGTGGAATTCCGCTCAATTGTAACTGTACTCGAGCACACGTAATGGAAAAACATAATGACCCCGATTCCGGCTCTCACATGATACTACTCACGGCAGTCAATTCTCTCCGAGCTCATGATCATGAATCTCGGAGTGCCCGTGATACCTATAGGCACAGTAAGATCAAAGTTATGTGATGTTATGTAATATTATGTACGGAGTACCTAGAACGGATGTCGTGTTAGTATCGTGTAGTCTTATCTAAGTGACGACATTGCGCTTGCAAAAGGAGGTGAGCAAGCCATAGAGGGAAAAAAATCAAAGTCAGTCACAGGTGAGCCACAATGAGGCAGTGCTGTTGATTTAGTTTCGTTTAGTTTGCAGCGGGGATGCAGGTGGGGGGGTCGTTCAATAGGTCGCCTTACGAGATTGGGTTGGCTAGTGCGAGGCTGAATGGCTTGGGTGCAGGAAGTGGGGAAGTGGTGATGTGAGGGGCCAGTGAGGCAGACTTGGTATCTTTGAATGGGGTTTTAAACTCTTGAGGGAGGTTGGAAACCCAAGAAGGTTTGGGAGTGGAGAAGATAGGATAGGGAGGTTATTGATGGGATTGGATGGACTGGATGAAGTGTATGCTTAAGGGTGTGAAGTGGATATGGTACTCTCGAGTACCGGTGTTGATCAAAAACCTGCCAAATGTTTCAATTGCAAAAGCTAGCGATAAGTTTCAGAATGGCTTTGCGTTTCGTTTCGTACATTGTACCCCACAATAGCTACTGTACTCTTAATTCTAGATTCAGAATGACTCTTACACCGAAGTCATACGGCCGTAGAGAAACCCAATATCACACTTTGTAACCATACACGAACTACTTGCAATGGATGAGTGAGAGCTTGAGATAAGATCAGTGAACAGCCTCAGCCCAGCTGAGTACAATTGTACTGTCCTACCATGAAAGAAAGGAAAATGTAGCTTGTTCATGTCCCCTTGTAACGATCGAATCCTTCAGATGCAGTGCGGAGTTAATGGTCAGATATGAGGTCAATATCACTTATACCGAGGTCAATAAGTGAATGATTCTTTGGGATTCATAATGGGGCTTGATATGAGCCCTTAGGCAGTTTTAAAATCGTACCGGTAGGTGATTTGATAGAGATTGTTATGGGAGGAAGCGGGTTAGGAGAGAGGGAGTATGATTGGCGATTTTACGGATTTGGATATTTAGGTACGCGGAAAAGGGTTGAGATATCAAAGATAGGAAGGCTAGTTACTAGAGAAGAGAAATGGAAGTCTAAAAATAAAAGTAGACGATTAAACTACCTACTTTTTTGTTGACACTACTTACTTGCTGCTATTATCAATTGTTTTACTCATATGATACGAGCATCTAGGCGCCTGAATATTGCTGTTTCTTTTCTAGGTGAATACATACAGATACCAACGACAATCTACTCATACCATATGTAACTACTGTAGTAAACTACAAGGGAGTAATATAAGTTTTCTTAGTTCCCGAGTTGCGGACTTTCTGGCGACATGATTACTCCGTACTCCATATAAACGATTTTCGTCAAGGGACAGAGATCGCATCCTTATTTGTCCGGTACTTGAGATGGATAAAATAACTGTTGGATTTAACATATTATTTCTCTCCAACGGCTTTCATCAAATTTCGAATTAAATTGGTAAGGATCGTTATTCATCCAATCATTATCTTTTCCTTCTAAGCGAGATTGAAACATAGCCCCTGCCACAAATGAAAAACTGAGCTAAATAGCCACGCTAGTGATTTTAGTGGGAATAAGCCGAATTTAGATCCTGACAGCTTTTCATCTCCCTCTTCCATCTCATCACTTCAAACTTCAACTACAGACTTTGAAACGGTTCTGCACAATAATTTCCATCAAACCTTGGCCAACTGACTCATCCGACTATTGAATCTGGCAGCTCGTGCCGGTACCTTACTTACGGTAGTGTAATCCCATCATCGTTTATCCTTGTTCAACATCTATTGTCATTAACATGGGGTTACAATGATAACTCGCGGCAATTTGTTACCTGCACGCGCGATCACCAACTAGTTCCTCTTCTTCTCACTACTTCTGCACTACTCTACTCTCTACCTGGGTACTTTCATTGCTATAAACTCATTTTCAAACTTGTCCACCTGTCTGCCGCTAACTGCACTGTACCTACATACATCACTTACCCTAGCAATGCTTACCGACTATTCAATGTTGCTACATTTCTTCCCAATCCATCTCCGTCTCCGTCCCGGTCCCCATTACATTTCCAATTCTAGCTATGCTCATTGCTCTCCCATCCATACTAATCCACTCTACCCGTTAGTTGTCCTTTATTTAGACCGTGAATATCCAGGAAGCCTACCATGGCATTTGCCGTGGTACAGGACTCTTGACCAAGCCATAGTGGGTATCTTGTCAACCATGGATGGTGGTCTTTTTTCCTGCGCCGCCAAGGCTTGAGTACACGTTCCACCGTCTTATTCCATCTTTAGCAACCTGCTGCCACATCCCGGTTTACCCATCTTAACCTAAATCGATCTTCCGTAGATCGATAATCCCGATTTTTCGGAACTATCTGGAAGTTGTTACTATTACTCGAGGCTGAGGCTTTACTCAGCGCTTTCAAGGTTTCTATTTCAGCCCATCCATGAGAGGCCCGGTTCCCTTCCATATACCCTGTCTCCATCGATTCGATGGTAATCCACCTCGTGGAAGGAGACCATCCATTTGGGATTTGGTTCGGTTTATGACCTGACCAGGCATAGCTTTCTTTCGCTGCAAGAATTTCTGTACTGAGGCAGATATACTTCCAAATCTCCACTGCGCCTACGACTCATCATCTCATCCCATGTATAGGTTTCCTGCATGTTTGTTGACCTGCATATCCTACATGCAGGTTCATTGACAAGCCCATTACCCACTGTTGCCTTATCTTTTTTCCGGCAAGACTCACCCGTTCAAGTGGCAGAGACTATAAGGCAGTCATATTCCTCTGAGCAATGACTCCTACCTTTACATCACAAGCTTCATCATCTGTCAAGTTTAGACTTCCTTTGTCCAGGCATCATCTCTTTTCAGTCTACTCGTTAATATATTTCATTGCCTCACTTCTCGTTGATTTCATACTTTTCATTCTTTCTACTCATCTTAGTTACCCCTCTATCATAGCAACCAAGGCCCCACTCACGACATATACCATACGAACTCGACAAATATCTCTATACTCAAACTACTATTCAACATGTGTTATCTCGTGGTCGAAAGATATTCAGTCTGCCGCTGCCTCTATTACCAGCACAGCGTTGACATGTGCGCGGCATACGGCACACAAGGTCATGGAGTTCAAGAGAAAACGGTATTGGTCGGTTATGCTTGCGACACGCACTCAACACACCAAACATATCAAACTTCATCAGCGCAGGAAGAGTATTCAGACTCTGGCTATCACACAGCGAGTCATAGCTCGCATACCCACTCATCTAGACCACACCGCAGATGAAACATACAGTCTTCGATAAATGGTTGCGCATGGCAATCGCGACGTCTTCTGCTCTTTGAATTCGACCATTGGGTCAAATATCTCTTCTCATTCCGCCGCAGACATTCTTCCGCTCCGCCATCCGAACTTACACTCCTTTTCACCGGCCACAATCGAATAACATCAATCTCTGCGCCATGATTAGGACTCCATGCGATAGTCTTCACTTCTACTACCTACCACCTCATTTAAATATGACTTTTACGATCGAAGAACCAAAAGATGCAATATTATGTTTCCACGAAGTTATCGAAGGCATTGTCTATATATCTACAGAGGACTAACCTCCCATCACACACATATATACATGGAGAGAATGATCATTGGAATTTTTCGCATTGCATAGCGGGTTTAATACGGCATAGAGTTCAATATTCGTTGGACTGGGCATGATAATTCTGTCCAAGCACTTTTGCTGTCTGCAATTTGTTTTGTTTCCTTTTGTTAAATCGATTTGTTACATTGGGAAAAGGGAAATATACCTGGTGTTTGGGAGGGATTATCATATTCGGTTGTTTTTTGGGGAATGTTTCTTGAGTCATCACCGAGTATTTGGATCTGTGATCCATACTTTGGTTGATATGTCAAACAGTTTCTTTTGTGTGCTTTATACCTAGGGGCTAGACTCCAGCTCAGGCAGCAATGTTGTTCTAATAGGTTGGAAGAGGAGGATCGGATCTTGGAGGCTGCGCCTACTAACCTCATCTATTCCTTAACATTTTCATTTTCCTTGGGTTGTTCTGGATGGTTTCTGCTTTTTGCATTTTGTTTTAGAAAGCACATGTTGAGCATATGTTGGAATCATGGATTCTACTCACAGCTCAATCTCGGATGGACAACTCGGTACTGGATATTGAAGATTGGACTTGGAGGGTAGCCGAAAACCGGATTATATTGTAAGAAAGAATCGTAAACGGGCTTTATGAGTTCTGGGAGATTATGGATTTACGGGTTATGGTTAATGTGGATTATAATACTAAACGGAAAGGTCGGAGAAGGAGAAATGAATTGAGATTGGTTTTGATTGGCTTTGATTGTTAGGAGATATTCAAATTCAAACATAATCCATTCATATCCATCATATATTCTGCATGCATGGTTTGAAGCTCATGTGATTTGTTTTTTATGCACGGGTATATGCACGTTGTATTGGGGGGTTTGGGGGCTATTGGATAGCAGGGTATGGAATGCAGGGGGGGTGAAAAGGATCATGGATTTCTAATGCTTGCTTACACTCGCGTTCGTATTGTGTGCGTCATTGAAGCGGAAGGATTCGATGGTTTGTATAGCTATATATATATATATGTATTCGATAGGCATATTTGGATGAAGCTTAGGCTCAGTCTCAGGTTCAGGCAGTTTTGAAATTTACTTGCTATGTTGTGCTCAGCCGATGGCGAAGGCGAAGGCGAAGGTGGAGGATTAAACAATAAGTAAATAAATAAATAAATATTGAAGGTTTGATATTAGTATTGGTATGGATGGATATGGATTATTAGGATATATGAATAGTTTGGGGGTTGAAGGATTAGATTCTTGAGAGATGGATTGGATTGATAAATTGGTTCTATAGATGATTGATTGTCTTTTATGTTTTTTATTGGGTTTGGAATTAGGTTTGGAATTAGGTTTGGATTTGGATTTGGATTTGGATTTGGATTTGGATTTGGAATTGGATTTGGATTTGGATTTGGATTTGGATTTGGGGTTGGGGTTGGGGTTGGGATTGAATGTGAATTCGGATTGATAGGATAGTGGGATGGATAATATACGATCATGATGTATGTACTCGAGTATGATATCTAGATTTAGTGATTCATTAGGTGGCTGGAGCTGGAATTGGAGCTGGACTAGATTTGGATGTACTCGAGTATATTTAGATTTAGATAAATACTATTCGAGTAGAAGGAAAATACTAGATATAAATAGATACTAATAGGCCTTTTTCGCTAGAAGATATATAAAATCATTAAATAAAGTTTATATAATAGAATTTCTGAGTATCAAGTATTTGATCTATAATATTCTCTATATTATCTTATAATATCTCTATACCGAACTCCGCTTGGCTTTAACTAGTTCAATCGAATCGACTCAGATTATCTAAGAGTTGAGTAACTCACTATCTTCTATATCTCAGCACAATATGTCTAGATATACTACTGTAATATTAACAATAGAAAGTCTTACGAAATATATACTGCTAGATATACATCCGAAGGATCGAGATGGTTCATCAACTACAAGTAGAAGTAGAATAATATGCCTTGCCGTTATAAACTTTCAAACCGAATATGGATTTTATTGATCAGGTTTCTCTGCTAATCAATAAATATGATCAGCTCATGATCAATTAAAGCCAATACATATAGGGTAAATATGCGAGGCGAGGGGAGACGGGGTGATTCCTGGGGCTATAGCTATCAGCCAAGCTATTAAAGTTAAACATGATATAAAGATTTTAATTTAGCTTTCCTGGAAGATTATTTTAGGTTTCTAAAAACCGGAAGCGAGCGGGAAGCCTAAGGGTACAATACAAACAAACAAGCCCTAATAAGTGCGCCGAGCTTCCACTATACTATCTGAACCCCACTAGTTTCACTCTCTTCCCGCTCACTAAATAAGTACCCGTAACGCACGACTGGGGAAATAAGTCGTACAGACCTTGCTGTTGAATATAGAATATAGAATACTTTATATGGTTGCTTATCTTACAATCCCATATCTACTCTATTATAATAGATCGTCTTTAACTTCCAAGCCAATACTCGATCCCGTCCTTGACCTTTTCTTGGCAAGCAAACCGCATCCTGCAACTATTTCTCTGCACAAAACTCACAACCTTGGATCCCCGTCAACCTCGTGTTATTCATGTATGGTGTAAATCAGTCATAGCTCTCTCTTAGCTTCTCCATCTTGAAATCTTCACTGCCCACGATCGCTCAAAATAGGTTCCGAATCCTTCATCTTATTTGATCTTCGCTTTATATATATCCTATCCTGGAATTGACCCATTTGCAATTGATATTGCCCTCGCTTAACCTATGATTCAGTGATTCAGCCATCGTATCGATATCGTATTCCAAAATCCAATACGATCTTTCAGTGATGGGATCTTACTATTCCCTCCCAGTTTCTCCAAGACCTCAAGGTCATCGTATTCCCCGGCCTTGCGAATTATGCGAACTAGAACGAGTCTCATGCCAATTTACTGCCAGAGTTTGCGTAAACTACCCCTTCAAACTGTACTCTTGCAACGTTCAATGGGAGGCTCATAACCATCATGGCAAACTGATAATAGCAAGCGATGATTCATTGGTATATATTCCTCCATTGCTGCTCAGACTCGGGGATCAAGTCGTATATCTATTTCGATTTTACTATACCTCGAGTCATTGTCCATTGCCATTGCCATTGCCATTGCCGCGACCATAACAGTAACAAAAAACTTCCATGCACACAAAAACACAGATTTTCAAAATAAATAATAAATCATAGAATAATATTAACATAACACACCATTAACATGCCACGAAGCCGACAAGATAAATATGAAGAATTCGATCAGAAGAATTAATGTATTTCAAAGAATATGATGTGCAATTCAAGTAGTATGTATATACATGTATTAATGAATCGTATCAACAGTGCTAGTACAACAAGGATATATCTGATTATACAGCTATGAGGATCTAGTTGTAACTTGTTACTTATTACTTGTGTAGGAAAGATTCGAAGAATAAGAAGACTGTGAATAGCACCATCACCGTACAATATTATTCCACACATGTACATATCTTTCGAAAAATAAGATTACGGTAACGCTTCAACGCTGCTGCAACGCTGCAACATAGACTAGAGCTTCGAGACAATAGAAAGAAGCAGGAAATAGATATTGCAGAAACACTCATTCGAATGTAAACATATCCCACGAGCTGTCTATTTATCATCGCATTCCCGAGATCTCCAAGAAGTTTGCAAGTTGAGTTGGCCACGATTAGGAGTTCATGTACCATCAGATCGATCATACCATTGAGCGCTTGCTTGATTCTGGAGAAGGTATTTGCGATTTGTGGGGACGATGTTTGTAATGGTTGATTGGAGTGAGATGAGATGAGATTTGATGGAATGGGGTCCAGATTTATATTTGAATCATTGATGTACAAAACATATGGATGGGCCTTTAGCGA